CAGCTATAAAAAAAAAAAAAAAAAGGAAGGAAGGAAGAAAAGAAAGAAAGAAAGAAAGAAACTGCACTTCCAAATGCCTCTCCTGTCAGAGCAGAAAAACAGCAACATCTTGTACGGATTTGAACAGAATTCTTTGATTTAGCTCTGCCTTCAGAACGTCTGAAGGGCCGGCTCGGAGTGAAACAGAATGTGGCATGGTTGCAGTGGTCTCCTCTCCGGGACTTTGCTGGGAGCCCTTTTATCCGAGGACAGTCACACTGGTAGGTGCCCCTGCATCCTCCCCGCCCCCCAGCAGGCAGCACTGCGCTCCTTCTGGCCCCCTGGAAACGCGGCGCCCAGCCCCATGAGTGCTGGAGCAGATGGGACTCCTGGACCATCGGCTTTCCTGGAGTCCTCCCCAAGCCCTGCTGCCCTCTGCCACCTCCAGCAGCCTGAAGGTCACTTCCTCTGTCCCGGGGCCCTGGCCGTGCTCGGTGGCTTCTCCCGGTACCTCCCTCAATCACGAAAGGAGGCACCCGGGTTCTAAAGACAGGTGGACCAGAGCAGCCTCTGCAGCGGTGTGACACCCCAAAGCAGGCAGACGCTGAGTACAATCCACTGAGCAGGCATGCGAGAATCACCCATGGGTGGTAAATGCCGGACCACCAGCCCCCTTGGCAATGTAGACATCGCGAGGTGTACAGATGACTCTTTAAATTTTTAATGACTCTCCTGAGAGCGCTTTTCCTCCGGTGAGCCAACCCCCACTGACACTGGAACCTGATCAGCCCCGTAAGACTCACAGCAAACATGACTTTGCCGAGGGAATCACGGGAGCACGTCTTGAGCCTTCCCCAGACCAAGGGCTTCTGTCCACACACGTTCATCCACACTCAGTTCGCTTCTTCCCGCTGCCCATACTCACCCCTCCCTCCAGAGTCTCCACGGAGGCTCTCATGCCCTACTGGGGAGCCCCTGCCTCTCGGGCAGCATCACCCTTTGGCTTCCCGCTGATCCTCCAGTGTTAATCAAACCCAGTTCAGAATGAAACTACAGCGTGCTTCTTGTTCTGCTATGAAATGTGCAAAGCACAGACCATATCATTAACATAAAACTTCCAGAAATAAGGCCACTTTCCAGACAGACTGTATTAATTGCATCAAGCTTCTACAGCTGGGGTGGTCTAATCCACAGTGTCCCATTGGATGGCTCCGGTTATAAAAACCAACACAAACGAACACCGGGATATAATTGAAGGAGGAGAACACGATAGATTCTACTGTTACACCCTACTATTTACTCACAGGTATTCTTTTATCTTTATTGTCCCTTTAACCCATGCCAAGAAACCCCAGACTAGTTAAATAACACAGCAAGCAATTTCAGTAGAAAAGTAAATTGAATTTAACTTTACAAGATTGCCCTGTGATTTCAGCATCTACTAATGACTGCAACTGACTCCTTCTATTAAATCCAAACACTTCCACTTCCCCGAGCTGGGATCTTGTGTGTTCTTGCGTGAGACCTTGAACTTCACCGAGCACATGTATTAATCACAGGAGCTGATGACCATTTGTGGCTTTTAAATATGCAATGAAGTTTCTAGGTTCCTTTTCCACCTCACAATGCCGGCACATGATCTGAACCAGCCAAGAGGCTAAAAGCCTTTAAGAATGGAACCTGGAGATCCAGCCTGATGTAAAATTTCAGACACGCAACCATGTCTTCTGCACAAGCAGGAGTCAGAACTTCTACAGGGCTCACTCAGCATGAGGCTCGGGTCACAGAACCTGGCGACGTATAACCTCATTCGATCCTCAAAACAAGCTTTCAAGGCATGAACTATATCACCGCTCCCATTTTATAGGTGGGAAAACTGAGGAATAGGGAGGAAAAACGGCTTGCCCAAGGTCACAAAACCATTCAGAACAGCACCCTTCACTCAGGCAGGGAATGTTGACAGTCATGGAAACCCTGGAAGGGGAAACGGTTCAGAGGAGCTTTCCAAGACCCAGATGTTTCCGAACCAGCCTCCGAACACACCACCGCTACTCTGGGGACCTGAGCCAAGTCACATGCCCAGTCGTCCAAAGCAGCCAGTAACTGAAACACATCAACATCATCTGTTCTAGAAGTCAGATGTGAAGCCTCATTTTTAAACATCACGTATGTATCACATGATACACACGTCCGAGGGAGAACGGCTCCTTCAAGGTCACCAGCCAGGTGGAGTGAGGGCCAGGACCACAGCCCAAGCTTCTCCACTCCACTGGTGCCCTGGAGAGGTCCCTACATGAAATTTCTCAGGGAAGAAACTTCAGTTTCCAGGAACGCCCAGACTCAAAGCCCTCCCAATATCTCAGCAGGGTCAAAAAGCAAAGAAGAGCCCCAGTCCCTCCTCCCCACCATGACCATCAGGAGGTCAGCGGTGGAGGGCCCGGGAGGCAGGGCTGTTAGGGACGCTGCCAGCCAGAGCGGGACACAAACACACACACAAACCTGTGTGGCTTGCTCCCCCATAAAATCACATCCTTCTATAAATAACTGTGAATGCCTTCACGGGCATGCAATTAACCTGTGTGAAACACGGTTACTCCGGGGTTTTCCGTATTAATTTGAAGAGATAGGTTCAGTGCATCCTGATCTGAAAAGAGACAAAACAAAGTAAGGATGGTGGCCCCTCTCCGTCTTTACAGAGGACTGCTTCTTCCTAACGGGTTACTGCAAATTCAATGACTCCATTCCAACCACTAATTAAACAGGCACTAAAAACACTTCAGCAAACAGCCCAGTGCCAGGGACAGAAGCCACAAAGGGACAAAAACCTCCAGAACAGGGTATCTTCAGGTACGTAAACTGATCAGAAAGTACGGGGCAGGCAAATTAACGGTAATCCAACAGTGAAAGAGGACAGTGCCAGAAATCACAGCCCGGCGTCACAGGCCCAAGAGCAGTCTCCAAGGAAGGCTGGGAAGGGTGGTCTCAGAGACCCCAAGAACAGACCCCACCCTGCCTTGATGCCCTCCCTGGGCACTAACATGCATTTGGGGGCTGCTCACAGACTCTATGCCCTCATGGCATCAAGTTCTAAAACCTTAGAGGGCCTCTAAACCAGATGAGCCAATGGGAGAGGCGAAGAAGGTTTTGGATGACCAGCCAGGGTCAAACCCACCTCTGCCCTTCCATCCCCTTCCAAGAATGGTCTCCACGGGTCCCCATTCCCGCTCTCCCCGTCTCCACCCCTGCAAGCTGCGGGAGGGCCAGACCCGCTGTGCCTGACTCCACCTTGGTTTGCACAACGCCAAAGTCGTGAAAGAATGACTGAATGTGGGCTATGAGAACTCCCCATCTCCAAGCCTCACTTTCTCATCTGCAAAGTGGGGAGAAGAGAACCTACCTCCTAAGGTCACTACGGGAATTAAATTCAAGAATGCACACCGAAAGCCCCGTGCAATCCTGCACACGGGATAGTCCCTCCACATGGGTCCCTTGAAGGAAGGGGGTGGCGCTGTGGCTGAGGGCAGACGTGCGGCTACCAGAGCCAACAGAGGGTTAAGTGAAGCCCCGGGCGCACCTCCGCCAGGGCGATCGTGTTTCTGTACCACAGAACTTGCCTGAATCTAGTCAGAAACACTCAGGCTGATCGTTGAGAGCACGACCCCCCAGGCGGCGGCAGGAGGCTGCAGAACTCATTACAGGAAGCTCTGAGAGCAGGGCAAAGCACCCCGACGAAGTAGGCACCCCTTGCTCAGCAACCAGACATCACAGCGCAGCCCTATAGAGCTGGGATGAGAGCTCGGGTCACTCCAGGCACTCGGGCGGCCTGGGGCAGGGAGCCAGCCGCTTTGCTGGGGGGGGCCGACTCCTTCCTGGACAGTTTCAGTCTTTGCTTTGTGCATTCAAGGCATGAGCCCAGGACTACGATGCCACCATACACCACAGCGGGAGCTGCTGAAGGCCGCAGTCCACCTGACCAGCAGGAAGGCCTGCGAGGCTCTGGCCCCCGCAGAGCTGATGGTCTCTACCAGGGACCGTCCGTTGGGACAGCTTCAATTAAAGCAAAACCTGTCCCAGAAAAATGGTTTTCCCTTCACTACCCGAATCAAAAGAAAGCCTGCAACAGGCCTGGTGACAAAGCTGGGACAAACTGAATGGGCCCCAGGACTGCACAGCCCCCCACCTCTTTTCCTGACCGCGCCCAGAAACCAGACCTGGGGCGCTCATCCCCGCCTGTGTCTGTGTCAGCATGCCGGCACCAGGCCCTCAGGCAGAGAGGCTGGGATGGGAGGCCTGTGCCCACAAACTCCAGGGACCCCAGGCCCCAGCAGAAGTTGGGTTGTTTTTGGAGAGAGGTGGGGGACATTGTGCGGTGGCTGCCCATGCGTCCGCCTGTACGAAGGCCAACCACACAGACCTGCCAGGGGGCACACAGTGGGGACATGCCTGGCCCCAGCCCACAGGCACCCCGCAAGGCTTCACCCCCTCCCATGGCCACAGCTGAAAGTCTCCTTCAGAGCAACTCTTTTTGTTTCAAAGTTAATAGGCAACACATTCTGGCAAAGAGAAACTTGGCATTTTGGACGGCTCCGGCTATGTGCACAGGCGGCTGGGGAGTCTCCCCCCAGTGCTGTCTGCAGGGTGGGGGGCAGTGACTGGGGCAGGGAGGAGACGGCAGTGGTGAGGGCAGGAGAAAACTTCAGATGTTAAGTGTTATCCAATCAAGCTTTAGCCAAACAGCCCAAAGACATGAACTTTGGAAGCTGCAGGAATGCATTCTGGGAGTGAGACACTCAGAACGGGCAGACGTGTTAGGGGACCTCCTGACCAATGGGGACAGGGGCACAATGACGTGCTTCCCCACTTACCCTGCGCCCCCCAAAATGCCTTTAGGGGTGGGACTGCACATCCTCCCTGGGGCCCCACCTTGCCCGGCCCACCTGGGAGAGGCAGCTGCCAGCCTGGCCCAGGGCACACCCCGCCATCCCTGGGAGCCCGCCCTCCCCACCGCGGCCGTCTGTTACCTGACAACTGACACTGGCATCCAAAGGGAGCCTCCGTCTGACCCTCACCCTGAGTCCCGTCACCCGAGACCGGGCGCGCGCTGCAGCACGGCAGGGGGAAGCAGGGCGGCAGAGCGCCCAGGGTGCGCAGAGGTGGAGTGATCACGGATGAGTGAGGGTGGGAGGAGGCAGCTATGGGGGCCGTCGCTGGCAGCTGGGCAGGCCTGCACGGCCCTGGAGAAAAAACAATAAAAAAGACTGGTCAGTCGGGCCCTGGACCATACAAGGGACCCGGGGTGTGGGACAGGGGCCCGGGGCAGAGGGCTGCAGGCCACCCTTCCAGAAAGGGAGGCCCCAGGGTGCCTGGCCCTGCAGGAAGGTGACCAGGCACAGGCAGGGGGCAAGAGGCCAGGGAAGTGGGTGAGGGGCCTCGTGGGCTCCTCCTTCCACAGCTGCCAGGATGGGCTGTCTTGGGACCAGACTCCCATCCCTGGGGGGCCCAAAAGAGGTTGTCAGAGCCCTTGTACCTGGGAAGCCCCCCCACCCACCACGTGGAGGTTTCTGGAGGGTTCCGGAGCTGGCTCCCTTTGGGGATTCATTCCCAAAAACCTGGGCCACCCCCCTCTGGAGGAGCTGGGAAGCTCCAAGCTACCACTGTCTGCTATATCAGGACAGGCTGCTGGTACAGGCCGTGGATACCTCAGTCTACCTCTGAGCACCTGGGCACTGGTTAACCTGCAAGCATGGAGGATGGCCAGCTGGTGTCTCTCTCCAGCCCACGGTCATCCTCAGCAGCCTGAGCTTCAAGCACACAGCACACAAGCCCCAAGGCCATTCGGAAGGCTTTGAACGCCCCCCCTCCCCAAGAAAATCCTGGCACTGCCCAGCACCCGTCCTCATGCCTCGGGCCTGCTGGGGGCGCCTCCCCCATCTGACAGCCAGGACGCAGGGCCTGGAGCTCTCTTGCCTCTGCCCAGCCCCATGGCTCGCCCCGACTCCCCGGCAAGGCCTGCGTTTGATTTGGCCGTTTATCTTAAATGGCTAAGAGACCACCAGGGCAAAAATCTGTGTGAAGCCCTTGCCAAAACCACAAGTGAAGAAGTCCAAATTCCCTGGGTAAATAATTGAGCGGGGAAGCATCAGAGAGACAAAAAGAAAACACCAACAAGATGAGGGCAGCTGGGCCCCCGGCCGGCTCTGCCAAGGAGGCCACCCGACGCCGCTCACCATCCCACACGGGCCTGCAGAGAGAGTGTCTGCCCACCTCGGGGCCCCACATGGGATTCCCCCACCCAGGAGAGCCACAGGGCACCACGAGCCCACTTCCAGCCAGGATCCTGTCAGACCCCCTCCTGAGTGAGCCTTCCAACATGCCCCGGGCACAGGGCCTGGGAGACCCACTGCACAGACCAGCAAACTGATGACAGACCCGCTGCCCCACCAAATCCAGGCCACCTGGCTCCAGAACCAGGGTTCGTCTGCTCCGGCACCTGCCTCTACAAACCGTGTGCAATCCAGGGCCTTTGAGAAGACTGCAAACGTCCTGCCGAGAAGCCAAAGCCACGTGGACTCCTCAACACGACTAAAGACCTCGTACAAGGCGAGGCTCAGGGCCCAGGGCATGGCCGAGCCCATGACAGCCCCAGAAGGGAGGGCATGGCCAATGACCTCATGCCGCTCCAGCCAGACTCAGTGCTGGCCTCCACGTAAAGTCGGCACCTGAAGCCAGGTTCCCTCACCTCCTCCTGGAAGCCTGCCCTGGCCAGTCCTCGCCTAAGCCCCTGCCCCAGCACCGGACACTGCACACGCCATCCTGTCTGCCTCCCCCTGCCTTCACACCGCAGAAGGCTCCCAACACGGCTCTGTGCCAAGAACATAGCATAGCACCACAACAGGCCAATGCCTCACTCAGCTGAGAAAACCAGCCCCCATCCCACAGAGGCTACTGAGGCTCACAGAGATCTGGGACTTGAACCCAGTTGAGTCTCCAAAGCCTGGATATGCCGTGCCTCTCCCTCAGCCTGCGGCTAGGGTGGAGGGACCAGGGTGCCCCGGGATGCTGAGGAAAAGGGCCATGTGGGGTGGAGGGAAGCCAGAGGGTCCTTGGACTTGCTCGGGCCATGGGAGACTGAAAAGAGCAAATCCAGGCCCCCAGGTTCTGGATGAAACCATGACACAGACACCACCATTTACCATGGCTAAGTAAGAGAGACAAGAGCGCCCAGGACTGCCCAAGTAGAAAGGGAGCAGAACCTAGGTCACCAAGGTTGGGAGAAAGGACATAAGGGCAGGTCCAGCCATACTTCTCTCCTTCTAGAAAGGTCAGGCTTAGACCAGTCTTTAAAGGCAAAGTCATGTCCCAACTTACATAGGGATGCAGGGCCAAGCTTCCATACGCCTCGTTAAGAATTCCAACCTCACTGGGGCACCTGGGTGGCTCAGTGGGTTAAAGCCTCTGCCTTCCACTCAGGTCATGATCCCAGGGTCCTGGGATCGAGCCCCGCATCGGGCTCTCTGCTCGGTGGGGAGCCTGCTTCCTCCTCTCTCTCTCTCTCTCTCTCCGCCTGCCTCTCTGCCTACCTGTGATCTGTCTGTCAAATAAATAAATAAATATCTAAAAAAAAAAAAAAAAGAATTCCAACCTCACTGAAGACCACCTGCTCCAAGGGCTAGCTCAATGGAGACGGGAGGGAACAACAAGAGTGAGTGGCTTCTAATCCAAGCTGCCCACAGAGAACACTCCAGTTGCTCTCAGAAGACCCCTGCCCTGGGGGAATCCCTGTCCCCAGCCCCAGCAGCTTAACTCAAGGGTGAACTCCAGAAAAGCCTCTCCTGAAGCTCGAGTAAACGCAGAAGGCAATGCTAGAAGTCACCCACTGTTTGACCACAGGAAATGTCCAGAGTTGGCAAGTCCATAGAGACAGGAGAAGGTAGACAAGTGGTTTCAGAGGCCGGGGGGTAGGGGAGTGAAGGCTAATGGGGACACGGTTTCTTCCTGGGGCCATGAGAATGTTCTGGAATTAGACAGTGGTGGTGATGGTTGCACAACATTGTGAAGACGCCCAAAACATGGGCGCCTGGGTGGCTCAGTCGCTAAGCATCTGCCTTTGGCTCAGGTCATGATTCCAGTGTCCTGGGATCGAGCCCCCGAATCGGGCTCCCTGCACAGCAAGAAGACTGCTTCTCCCTCTCCCTCTGCTGCTCCCTCCTGCTTGTGCGCTCACGCTCTCTCTCTCTCTCAAATAAATAAAATCTTAAAAAAAAAAAAAAAAAAAACACCCAAAATCACTAACTGTCCACCTTAAAGTGATTAAAAGGGCAAAGTCCAAGGTGAGGACTGTCTGGCCTCAGCAGCCACCCCCGTCCACCTCCCAAGCCCTTGCCCACCCTCCAGGAAGGAGGCCTGTACTCAAGCACAGGCAGGAAATCCAGAACACACTCGACAGAGCCCTCGAGGCCTGGTGACAACAGACTGACACACACAGAGGAAGTCAGAGCTCAGACACAGGCCTGGAGCAGAGGCCTGGGCCCAATCCCCTCGGCCATTTCTTGGCCATGTGACCCGGGGTGAGTCACTCGCTCAGAGCCCCGCCCTTAAAGGAAGGTCAGGACAAGCCTGGCCAGAGCCTGGCTTCCAGTGAACACTCAACGAATGGCCACTACTGTCCATTTATTTTCCACTCTGGAACCATTCGTGCCCCCCCCACACAGCCTGGCACGGAATGTCCGTCGGGTGCTGTGGGCTGCAGAAGGCACCCGACAAAGCCCCGCAAGACACTCTTTTTAAAGGGTTTCTTCTGCGGTCTAGCTGGGTCCCCTCTGGAACTGGAACAGCACCCAAGGTATGCGGCAGAGGGACACCAAGACGCCACCTCAGCTTTACGCAGGATCCAGGCGGCTTAAACATAAGATCCTGGCCGGCCCGACTCCTTACTGCGGAAGCCAGCTTCCATGAGGGGAAAGGAACAATGAGCACGGAGATCCTATCATTTAAGGCCAGGAGCCTTTCCAGGAGTAGGTACTATGACCCTCCCCCGCCACCAGTGACAAAACTGAGGCTCACAGGGGTTAGAACATCGCTCTAGGCCACTGTACAGAGAGGCACAAAAGAGTCCAAAAATACGATCCCTAAAATGTTTCTTAAGCCCCAAATCAGGGTACAAGGCAGTTTTTACTGCCTCCATGCTGAGGGTGTCTGGAACCTGTCTCCCTTCTAGAGGGGCCCCGCAGATGTTCCTGCTTCATCCTCACACATGCGCACTACCCCGAGGGCACGCCCACACCCACCGGAGTGTAGACACAAAAAACTGCGCCTGGAAAAACCCCAGCCTGGCGTTGAGGGGAACGTGCACCTTTCCCAGAGCTGGGTCCTGGGCGCCCCTCCCGCAGGGGAGGGTTACGGGTTCCGAGCTGGCAAGAGGAGCTCTGGAGTACACTGTACTGAAGATGTAGATTTTTCTCCCTACTGGTGCTTTTCAATTGATACATTTTTTAAGCCAAGAACTCCTACTGATAGTGCAAAAATGAGTCATAGATCAAGGAGGGAGACAGACAGGGAGCGAGCGCTTGTGAGTGAGGGCCACTGGCAAGGAAACCTGACAATCCCCGCGCCCCCTCCCCCCATGCCAAGACATTAATTCTCACAAGTCGGAGAAAATTACTATGCATGAATGCAAAAAGCATGATCAGGAGTAATTAACATGGCTTCATATGCAAATTTTATTAATGCAGAAGTACAAAGTCATTATGCAAATGAAACTTACGTCAACTCTCTTGACAAATATTCATCTCTGAGGCTCAAGTTTCTCCCTTTTTATTTATTTATTTAATTCTTCTCTCCCCCCACCTTTTTTCCCCGGGTCCTTTTTTTTTTTTTAAGAGGGTGGGGGCGTGGGTTAGTGCTGGTGACCGCTTCAGCAGCAGCAAGCCATGAGGACTGTTAGACAAGTTTGCAAAGTTGTTTTTCAACCAGAGAAATTTATTCTTGCATTGTTGATTTTTTTTTTTTTTGGTTGTTGGCAGGTACAAGACAGCTCATAGGAGAAGAGGAAAAAATAAAAAAAAATTAAAAAATAAAAAAAGCTCTGGGCAGCAGGCAGCCAATCAAAACGCCAGAGCCTGTAATGAGGGCGATTGATGGCTGTTTGGCTTTTACTGCAGGGTAATGAACTAGAATCCAGTCTGAGGAGGGGGGAAAATATGAATATTCATGAGACTGTGCTCCTGCCTTTGAT